CTGACCCTTCCGCCTGTGCTTCTCCTATCCCAGGCCTGTCTCTCCTGCTGGACTATGAGCCTCCTAAAGGCAGAGGGGTCTTGGTCACTGCTGTGTCCCAACTTTGTCTAGCATGGGGCCAGGCCCAGGACATGGATTCAGTGAATATGTGTTGAATATAAAACTGAATGGTTTTATAGCTCAGTGGTGCCTGCATCGGTTAATGATTAAGTATTTGACATCAAAAGTCAGACAAACCGGAGTTTGAAACTGATTTTGTCAATTCCCGATTATGTGGTCTTGGGCAAATGACCTTACCTCCCTAAGCCTCACTTCCCCCTTAAAATAAAGGTGATGATTCTTAATATCATAATCATAACTAATACTTGTATAGTACTTATTTGGGCCAAGTACTGTTCTAATCACTTTAATCTAGGTTAAATCACTTAATTCACTTAACCCTTCTTCATTTACCCTCCTCTTGTGATATGAGTGCTGTGGTGATACCCATTTTACAGTTGGGGAAATTGAGGCTGAGTCACTTTACTGAAGTGAGGTCACTCACTTGGGCCCATATGATTTGTGACTTCTTCATACCTCTCTGGACATTAGTTTCATCTGAAAACCCAGGGCTCAATACCTCTCCAAGGAGACAGCATAAGACAGTCATCAGGGATCCCTGAAACCTGGAGTGGGAGGCACAGTAGGTACCTAAGTTCTTACCTTGGTTCCCTCAACCTGGTTCACAGGGAACAGCTCCCTGAGTCCGCGTACATGCACCAGCTCTTGGGCCTTAACCTCCTCTTCCTGCTGTCTCAGAACCGGGTGGCTGAGTTCCACACGGAGTTGGAGCGGCTGCCTGCCAAGGACATCCAGACCAACGTATACATCAAGCATCCTGTGTCCCTTGAGCAGGTGAGTCTGGAGAAAGGGAAAGGAAGGGCCTGGCTAAGGAGGGTGGTGCAAGGACAGACATTAGGGAGGGTTTCCTGGAGAAGTGGATAGGGTTCACCCATCTTTTAGTCCATAGACTCATTTATTTATTTGTCCAACAAATATTGAGCACCAGCCATGTGCCAGGCACTGTGGTTGGTTTTCAGACTGTACAGTGAACAAAACAAATAAAATCCCTGATCTTGGGAGCATGACATAAGGGTGGTCAGGGAAGGTCTTGCTGAAAAGGTGAAATTTGAAAAAAGACTTGAGAGGAGTAAAGAACCCAATTATGTGGACATCTAGGGGAAGAGTGGTCCAGGTAGCCTGGACCTTCTGCCTAAGGTCCCAAGGCAGAAACATGCCTGGTAGCCTGGCTGAGGGGTAGCAAAGAAGACAGTGTTTCTAGAACAAGGTCAGCAGGGTGAGAGAAGAGCCTTAGTACCCAGGGTTAGGAAGTAATTCCTAGAGCTGAGGTCTCATGGGAGGATTTGGCTGTGGGGAGAGGCTGGGAGAGAGGACAGTTAAGGCAGGCGGCACAGCTTGGGCAAAGGAGGAATAGGCATGTGGTACAGCCAGCTCTGTCTCCTCCTGTGATTGGATAATAGATGATATCAGTACATATCAGCGCAGGGCAGGCTGGGAGTGTGTGTGTGTGTGTGTGTGTGTGTAAGTAAACCAAAGAGACCTTTCTGGTAGAGCAGGTGCCCATTCTGCATGGGGAATGGGCGTTCCAGCAGAGTGGGGCTTATGGTAGCACTGGGAGTATGGTGAAGCCTCAGAGGGTAGGCCACTATGCTGTCTCTACCTCATCTTCTCATCTTCTCATCTTCCCCACCCTTCCCTCGTTCTCCACAGTACCTAATGGAGGGCAGCTACAACAAGGTGTTCCTGGCCAAAGGCAACATCCCTGCCGAGAGTTATACCTTCTTCATCGACATCCTGCTTGACACTATCAGGTTCATGGGGAACCAGGGCCTCTGTGGTGTTCAGAAAGAGCTTGGAATCTGGAGTCAGGCAGCCCTTAACTGAATCCCATTCTGGCCACTTGTGATCTGGGGAGACTGGGCACATCAGTTTTCTTTTTCTATGCACTGGAACTGGTCATGAGATTGTGGAAAACAGTCTTCATCTTGCTCTGGGCTGTTTACCAGTGTGCCTATACATTCCAGACCCAGAGCATTGATTTAGCAGCCAGACAGTGCTCAGCAACCAGGGACCATGCTGCCTTTCTTAGAGGTGTTCCATGAGTCCTGCGACCTCACCTCAGATCACCTAAACTGTGAAGCCTTTAGTTTCCACTTCTTTAAAATGGGGCCTTCAAATCCCACTAACCCTTTGGGGGTTGCTCTCTGCACAAGTGACATCACAGAGGAAGTTGGGCATGACATTTACAAGTCCTTTGAGAAGTAAAAGAATGTCCAGGTGGAGGCAGAGTATCAGATTGAGATGGGTTTCCATTCCCCCAAGCCCAGAGAGGTGGTGGGAGTGAGGATGGCAGTTTTGTGGATTTGGGTTATATTTTGACTCCAAAATTAAAGGAGTGAAAAGTGAGTGTCCATATACTGCTTGGCCTAAGAAATAAAATACTTCAGAACAGATGCACCCTCCCCGTCATCCCCCCGCCACCCCCACAACTCCCCCCAAGCTAACCCCTTCTGTTTCAGTGACTCCATGCCTTGCAGTTTTTCTACTCAGTGTTGATCATGATACCTCTTGGCAAGGGTACAAGGAACCCCCTCAGGATTGGATCTAGAAATGGAGTGCAGCACCCTGTAAGGGGGTGGGTTATGTGAAAAGACCCCCTACGTGGGAACCCCAGGCTGGCTTTCAGATAGCCTGAAGTCCTTGTGGCTGGGAGTGGAATTCAGAGTTTGGGCCAGGAAGTCAGAGAGACCTGAGTGTGGCCCTGGCTTTGCAAGCTGGTCAAGCTTCTCCCTCTCTCCCTAAGCCTCCATTGGATAAACAAGACAGGTAACAAACATATTCCAGTAGTTGGTACTGAATTGAAGGGTCAGAATTTACCCATGTCAGACCAGGGAGGACAGAGCCTGGAGTGCTGTCTGTATTCAATAGTGAGAACTTCATCTTCCCCCAGAGATGAGATTGCTGGATGCATCGAGAAGGCCTACGAGAAAATCCTCTTTACTGAGGCCACCCGGATCCTCTTCTTCAACACACCCAAAAAGATGACAGACTATGCCAAAAAGGTGGCTGGGGTGCAAGGGGTTATGGGGCCAAGGGGTGCACTTACTAATAGCTATGAGGGTGGCCTGGAGGGACCTGGAGCAAGACTGCCCAGGTTTAAAAATCCAGGTGTGTTTCCTCAGGCAAGTCACCAAACTTCTCTGAACTTCAGTTTCCCTATCTGTAGAATGAGGCTAGAATTTAACCTGTGGGATGAGCTTAGCATAGCATCTGGCATGAGGTGGAGGTGAAAACTCAGCACATGTTGGCTGTTGTCCTTAACAGAATTCCTTGGAGGTTGTCGCTTTTCCCCACACAACTTTGCTTCATTTGGTTTGGGGTATTTGTGCAGGAGCAGTGCCCCTGGACATGCTGGTGCATGGGGTGCAGTGACCCTGGCTAGAAGAGATGAAATTGACCTTGAGTGATGGTAGCGGTTGATATTTAGTGGGCCAAACACTATTCTTAGCACTTTGCAAGTGTTGATTGAATTCTCATAGCAGACTTGAAGAGGAGTGTGATTAGGGTCCTAGTCTCAACCATGGAGAAACTGAGGCACAGAGAGGTGAAGTTACTTGCCTAGAGTTGTGCGGGTAAATTATGATTAGTAAAGCAAGCCAGGGCCTACATGGGTAAGTGCTGGCTCTATGGGGTGGGGAGGGAGCCTATGTGATCACCCCACCCATCTCTCACCCCTCCCTTTCTGCAGCGAGGGTGGGTCCTGGGCCTCAACAACTACTACAGCTTTGCCAGCCAGCAGCAGAAACCAGAAGATACCACCATCCCCTCCACGGAGCTGGCCAAACAGGTCATCGAGTATGCCCGGCAGCTGGAAATGATCGTCTGAGCCCAGCAGGCACTGAGTGGGGCAGAGCTTACATTATTGAAAGCAGTTGCAGTGCAGGGTTTCCTCTAATAAAGGTGAATGGACATTCTCTCTCCTAAGTCCTTGTCTCCCTAGGTGGAATGGTGGGGAGTCAAGTCCTTGTCTCTGAAAAACTTGGAAGTTTGAGGACCCTCAGGGTCAGTCTTTGTCCAGTGGCCTTTGCAGAAGGTATCAAAACAAATGCCCACTGCAGGGTCCTTGTGGCAGTGTGGCCTGTAGGAGCACAGGCCTTGGGTAGAGGAACTGTTGCACCAAGCTGTGGACATAGGAGGGCCAGTCTAAGGTACCAGTTTTTTTTAGTGAAGGGGATGAAGTATCCCAATTTAAAAAAATTGCAATGAAACCAGTTTTTTCAATAATATGTAAAATGGAACCCTTGTGGGGGATACCACTTTGAGACCCCTTGGAACAAAAGGCATGGACCCTGCCATGGGCTTGTCTTGGTTTCCGACCTTCCTGAGGCAGGAAGTTGAGCTCCAGCAGAACCAGCTGACAAGAAAGAATGGAAAGGGAAAAAGGAAGGAAAGAAGATGGGAATTCAAGTAATGGTTACTTACCTTTCCTAGGCCTTGGTTTCCCAATCTAGAAAATGTAACTTACGAACTCCTATACCCCCAGCCTATGTTTCCTGCCTTGAAATTCTTGAGGTGTTTAAGGCTGAGTCCAAATCTAGCTGGGCCATATGTGGCATTTTCAAGCCTTCCACAGTCAGTTTCCCCAGCTGTAAAATGGGAGTGACCATTCCTGCTTTCCAGAGTGATTTATGCTGAACCCTTGAGTTTGGCACGAGATCAGCTCAGAAATGGAGCTGATGGTATTATGGGGAATGAGACCATCTCACTGGGCCCCATCAGTCTGGATGGTGGATGAATGGAACTTCCATTACTGTTGCTCTGGGTCCAACCTGTTTCTAGGATGTGGTGCCTGCATGGAGACTTCTGCCATGCCCCACCCCACTCCTTCAACCCTTAGCAGGTGACTTGAACAGGCAGCTAGGCATCTGGATGTTGGTTATTTTATTGTCAAGGAGGGGAAGGTAGAAGCCATTGAATAGACTACACTCAGTTGGAATGGGTGGCCTGCAAGTCGAAGTGCTCCAGCCCGGCTACCAGGGAGCCGGCCAACTTGATGGTGGCAACCCAGGAGGGCTCGCTCAGGTGGTTGGTGGGCGTGCTCAGCCTAGGAGGAAAGTAGATTCAGCAGGGTCTGGCTGCGTGGTGAGGCCTTTACCCCTTCTAGGCTTCACTTTCTCCATCTACATGAGGGACCATGTCTGAATATACTATAGGTAGTTTGGGCAGGGCTGTATCCAGTTAAACTAAGTAGGAAAAGGGGGCTGAGATTTGGTGATAGTGTGATATCCCCCACTCCCCCTAATCGGAGCTCCAAGGGGTCCAGGGCAGCAGGTCTCCTAGTGATTCAGGATTCCCAGGAGCCAGGGTGACCGATCCTGAAATTCAGTGTGAGGGTAATTGGATTATAGTGTCTCCCCTGGATCTGAAGACTCAGTAGTAGTCTCTGCAGCACTGACTGGAACATCAGTACCTGCTGGCAGTCAAAACCTTGGGTCCCAGAGTCAAAAGTTGCCAGAGGCTAGAAGGAGGCGTGGCAGTTTGAGGGGCTAGACCAGGGACTTTGGAGTCCTGCATTTATATCCCTTTGGTTCCAGAAGATAGTCATCTCCCTTCCCATCCCTGAAGGGCTTGGAACATGGCCCCTCTTGGTACTCCCAAGGACAGTGTCAAGGCTGTGAAGACTGTCAGCTGGGACCAGCTTCCCTCCCTGATGGCTCCAGAGAGTAATGAAAGTAACAGGGCCAGGAGTCAGCTTGAAGGGTTGGATACCAAAGGGCTAGGCCAACGTGTTCCTTCTTGGAGCCCAGTTGGGTTTGAGTTGCAGCCGAGGAAAAGGTCAAGGGTAACCTGGGATCATGAGCAAAAGGACTAAGTGGGACTCTACCCAAGGAAGTTGGGTTTGGGACTTAAAAGGGGTATGCCCTTCTCTCCATAACTCCCCACTTTCCCTCCCTAACCCCCGGCCTCCCCTCACCAGGCAGACACGTTGCGTGGCAGGCGGCGATGGCGTGGCTGGTGGCGGCAGTAACACTTGCAGGGGCAAGAGTTAAGCACCTGGAAGGGCGGCCAGTGGCGTCGGGCACCAGTGTTAGCCGTCCCCGCTGATGGAGCTCCGCCACCACCACCTCCACCACCGCTGTCAGTCATGGTAGCTGCAGTCCGTTCACGAGGACCTTCTCCAGGTGCACCATCCTCACGGGTCGCGCCCCGGGCAGCGCGTGGGCCCTTGTTTCTGCGTGTTCGGGTTTTGATGGGCGCGGGCGTGGGCGCAGGTGGTGATGGCTCGGCTTTGGTGGGAGCTGGAGCCGGGGATGGGGCTGGGGCCTGGTCTGCAGCCAAGGCGAGGGGCGGGGCGGGAGCCTGGGCGGACTCCAAGTGACCTGAGCCTGGGTTTGGTGGGAGCGCTGCGAACAGTGGCGTTGGCTGGAGAACTGGTGGCTGCGGTATGGGCTGCGGCGCCAGAGGCGGCGTGGGTGGTGGCGTGGGCGGTAGCAACTCGGGTTGGCCGGGAGGCCTGGGGCGCACCGGCTCTCCATTGGTGGGCGCTGGGAAGATGAACATAGGCGGCGCAAGCAAGGCGGGTGCGGGCCTCCGGGGCCCGGGAGCTGGGTGCGTCTGCCCGGGCGGAGGCTGCAAGGAGCCCCAGGGACCTGAGAACGCGGCCGCGCGCCGTCTGGGGGCCCCGATGCCTCCGCCAGCTCCGTTGAAGCGGAAGTGGCGTTCAGGGCCATCGGGAGGGCTCACCCAGTCAAATTTGGGTTTCGAGCCTGGGAAGGTGGTGTAGGGTGGTGGCGGAAGGGCCCGGGCGTGGGACGCAGGCACGGAGGGGGGTCCAGAACACCCCTCGCCGTCTCCATTACCGCCCTCTGCTTCCTGGGTCACCCGAGGGACCTCTCCAGGGGAGCGAGCGGCCCCAGGAGTCAGGGGCCCTTGCTTCAGGACCTCGGCATAAGAGATGGCGCCCGAGGCAGTGGAGAAGAGTCCCCTGCCTCCGCCGCCCCCTAGCGAGACTTTGGCGACTAAGGAACTCGATGCTGCTGCAGGGGGCAAAGGAGGCCCCGACTTGAAGGTGACTTTACACAGCAGACTCAGGCCGGACTCGGAAGCCACAGGCCGGGCCATTTCACCCTCGCCTGCTTGGGCAGGCGCTCCTCCTCCGGCCCTGCCGGCTGCCTGGCGCTCGCTGCCGCGAGGGACCTGGTTTTCTATGGGGGTTGCGGCAAGTGTGGCCAGAGCAGGACTTATTCTGCGGTCCGGGGTCTGCTGGTCGGAAGGCGGCGGTGGTGACGGCTTTCGCGGCTCCAAGGATGGCGGAGTCAGGGATGGGGCCCTCTGGACAGGGTCGGGGTCCTCTTCGGCTTGTGTCAGGAGCGGGGGTGGCGGCGGCGGCAGCGGCGGGGGCGGCGGCGGCGGCGGCGGCGGCGGCGGCGGCGGCGGCGGCAGTGGGCGGAGGCTCGGGGGGTCGCCCTGGCCGCGATGGCTTGCCTCCAGTAGACCACGGATCCGAGGCACCGGAGTGCCCGTGGGTTTTCGCCACTTAGACGGTGTGGGCAACACGGTCCCCACGGGGGGTGGGGATGGTGTGGAGACCGCGGCCGCAGCCGTCTCCTCTGAAGGGGGCATCATTGGCGAGGGCAGTTCTAAGGGCAGGGGCGAGGGTGAGGCCTGGGGCTCCGGGGGTACCAGGAGTCCCTGGGACGCTGAGCTGCTGGGGAACCAGACGCCCAGCCCGCGAGCCAGGCGTATGGCAGGGGAGGAGGGGGTCACCTCGGGCTCCGCCAAGGATGTCCGGCGGGAGGCGGAAGAGCGGTCCGAGGCCTGCTCTTTTCGGGAGCCCCCGCCCGCGGACGGCTCCGACTGCACGTTCCCCATTTCTGACGGAGGTCGGAGACTGTGGTCAGAAAAACTTGCACCAGTCAGTCTGCCAGGTCTGTGGGGACCCGACGAGACTGGCTGTACTTGGTCCACTCAGGCACCAGTCTCTTCTAGACGCACTCGTGTTCCCTGACTCCTTCCCCAGGGCCCCACAGGGCTGCTGGTTACACACGGCTCCATCCTCTTAGTTTAATGAGGTTCTATCCCCAGTGCCCTGGCTGGTCCCTCACACCACATTCCTACACTTTGGCCACCTCCCAGGTCTTCAGGCTCCAAGACACAGGTCTTGCCCGTTTTCCTCTCGCTCAGGCCACATTCATGAGGGGTGTGCTCAGTAGCCTATAAGGTCTACAAGAAGTTCAAGCTTCTCTCCCCGCACTGTAACCCCACCCCCGCTCTCTAGTCCCGCCCCAACTGTCAGGAAACAGGGCCTCCTCCACACCTACTCAGGCCTGGCCCCGCCTCCACCTAACAAACTCCAGGTGTTCCAGTCATGCTAAGCCCTCTGTCCTCACCTCCAACCCTCTGATCTCTCTCTATGTCGATCATTTGGGGCCTGCCTTCTACCCGAGCAGCGGCGGAGCTTCAGGCTCAATCCTAACTCTTCCCTTCTCGGTTCTACCGCAGGCCTCAACCCTCAGGCTCCACCCTTCCCCTCGAGTTCCGCCCTTGGCTCCTCCGCCCAGGGGTTCCCACTCACCGATTTCTCCTGCCCACCAAAGTTCACACCACGGCCCCCTGGGCCCAGGGCGGGGCGGGGAACGGCCGTAGAAGAAAATAACCGAAAAGAACGGGGGTGCGGGTGAAGGCGAGTGGGCGAGACACCTAGGGCGGACCCCGAGATCTAGGCCACGCCCCCTGGCTCGAGGCCACGCCCTCCTGTCAGACAGCTTGAAACTGGCCTCTAACGAACCTGGATCTCCCTTTGAAGTACTCCGGGGTCTTCCCTACTGCTAGGCCTCGGAGTTCTAAGCCCCACCCCTTTAGAACGGCCTCCTTAGCCCCGCCCCTTTACAACGCCCCGCCCGCCATTAGGCCCTCTCCCTAAGCCCCGCCCATTAGGAACTCTGGCACGGAGCTCCTCTCTGGGATCTCTCATGCGCCCCTCCCCCAAAACAATTTACTCCTAAACTCCCAAGACCCTCTCTGTCCATCGCCCGCCCAGAAGGCCCATCCACCATGGACCGGCCCTTCTCCAGGACGCACTCACTGGTGTGCGTCTTGGGCGTCCTGTCTCTCCTTTCCCGGGCCCTCAGACCTCGCCCCCTAGTGAATGCTCCCTTCTCGCCCATGCCTTTCGAACCCAGCAGGCACTGAGCCCCTTCCGTCCAGTACCCAAAGCGCAGACTCTCGCCTCTTTAGAACGCTGAGACCAGGCCATGTCCCGGACCCCCTCCCCAATGCTTAGGCGCTCATGGATGGGAAAGTAGGGTATCCTTTCTGGATCCTGAGAAAATGGGGGCTGAGGGGCTGTTCCCTGGAGCTGGTGCCGGGCTCTAGGACCCAGCGGGCAAGTACTCCCGCCTCGCGTTTACACCACCCCAAGCCTCTCCCTCCCCTTCCCATCTTCCAAGCTCCCCCTCCCTACCCCCCCCCCCCCCCCCCCCCCCCCCCCCCGGCTCCGGGAGCCCGTCTCTAGCGCCGCCGGAGCAAGCGAGGGAGCCGGAGCGAAAAGAAGGAGGAGGAGGAGGCCACGTCGCTGCCGCTCGGAGCCCGGCCGGAGCCTCCCAGGCAGGTGCCGAGGCGGGTGAGGGGGCGAGGGCTGTCCTGGTGTGGGGACGACCTGCACCGCGTTGCGTCTCCTGCCCACCGGGGCGTCCCCTGCCCACCTGGGCGTCCCCAAATCCCAGCTGGAAGAACAAGGGGGTGGGGGCTCCTAAACTGCGCGGCAGCCATTTGGGGTAGCAGTCTCCATTTGGGGGGCCTGGACTTCCTCAGAGGATGCTCCATTCATAAAATTCTGTACAGGACCCTCACCATTGAGAAGCTGTGGGGACCACTCCTTCCGGGAAACAGATGTGTGGAGAGCACAGAGCACCCAGAAATCCCGGCGTCCCTTCAAAAGGAGGCCCTGCAGGGACCCCTGCCCTTTTTCTCTGCTTCACCTGTTGTCCGGGGAGGCGGGCGGACAAAGGAAGCAGTGTCACGTGACTGCTCATTCACAAAATCCCATCCCATTGAGAAAAGGGGGCTGGGGGCGCTAGCGGCTCTGCGGCCTCCCCTTCCCCTATAGAAGGGCCGAGGAAACCGGTAGCCTGCTAGCGGGGGAAAGGGCCAGAGTTCGTTGCATGGGTCCCTAAGTCTGGGACGCCAGGGTCCCTGCACTAGGCGGTAGTGAGGGGCTGGACGACGGCCCTAATACTGGGCGGAGGGCTAGGTCTCCTGAGCTGGGGGCGGGGTAAGATGGTTTTGAAGGATGCTGGGGCGGGGAGTAGGAGGGATCAACCCCCACCCCTTTCCCCCTCCAATTTCTCCCCTTCACCTTCCTGGCTGGGGCCTGAGGGTGCAGGCTTGAGTGTGTGTGTGTGTGTGTGTGTGTGTGTGTGTGTGTGTGTGTGTGTGTGTTTTGTGAATGAAATGCTCTCTGGATGTGTTTCTGTCGCCGGTTTCTGGCTTCCTCTGCCTCCATCTCCCTGTGGGCCTCTTTCTGGTAGTTTCTGGTTCTCTCCCTGACCATCTCCGTTGCTGGGTGACTCAGTGAGCTTTACATCCGGTCTCATTCATAAATGCGGGAAGGAGTTGGGGGGAAGAGAGCCCAGTGGCCTGAGCGACAGGGTGCAGAGGCAGTGAAGGGGGGACTGGAGCTGACTTGATGGGCTCTAAGAAAATACATATGCGCAAGCACCCAGCTGCGAGGGGGAAGGATGGGTGGGGCTGTGGGTATGAGTAGGAGAGGAGAGAAGGGAGGAGATGGGGTTGATGGGTATGAGCAGGAGGGGGAAGGGAAGTGGAAAGCCAAGGCTGTGGGGGTTCAGATGGGAAAGATGGAGAGAGAGAGAAAAGGGGTATGGAAATAAAAGGTAGATATGTAGAAGGTAGGGATGTATAGGCATGAGAGAAAAGAGATGGCATGAGGAAGAAAGAAGCCATGCTGGAAGAAGGGGGTAGGGAGAGAAGATGGGTACTGGGAAGAAGGTAGAAATGGACGGTAAGCTGAGTATCAAAGGTGAAAGTTGCAATGGATCCAGATGTGAGAAATGAAGAGGGGAGATGAAGGGTTCGTGAACATCAAATGTGAGAACAGGATTGGAGTTCACTGACCATGTTGTCCCTGTCCCCCCACCTCCAGGTACATGGTTCGGGTCCGAGCTGTGGTGATGGCCCGAGATGACTCCAGTGGGGGCTGGCTGCCTGTGGGGGGCGGGGGCCTCAGCCAGGTGAGCTTATGTCGGGTCCAAGGGGCCAGGCCCGAGGGGGGGGCCCGCCAGGGGCACTACGTCATCCACGGGGAGCGACTCCGGGACCAGAAAGTGAGCCACCCTGGGGCACGGGACTAGGGTGGGGGCCTGGGAAAATAGGGAAATGGGCCTGGGAGTGCAGAGGTGAAGTCAGGTCATCTCCAAGCCTGGGAATCAAACCTGAGTGTGGGATGGAGTTTGGAAGTGGATATCTGTCCTATGGATAAAAGTTGGGAGTTTCGGGAACATTTGGATTATTAGGCAGGTCTTGTCCACTGCCATCACCTGATGGACTATCATAGCAGCCTCCTCACTGCTCTCCCTGCCCTGCTTCCTCCCCCACCTCATTGTGTACCACAGGGGCTCTGCTAACACATGACTCAGATCACATCCCTCCTCTGCTTAGAACCTCTCCTGGCTCCATCTTGTCCAGAGTCCTCACCGCAGTGCCTTACACTCTTGGCCCCTATCTGCCATAAATATATGGAGGCATTTGGTGGAGGACTATCTGGAAATGTCAAATAGGACTTACAACCCTATATTTGGGTTCAGCAGGCATATTCTGGTCTGTCTGGCATGATAGGGAGGAACAGTGTTAAAGTTTCAGTTGGGGGTGTAGTAAAAAGATCTGGATGGTTTGCAAAGTCTTGGGGGAAGGGTTGCATTTCAGAGGAGTGGTCAGAAGGAACAATGCATGGGAATTTGAAATGGTGTGAAGGAATATAATGATGTTGGGCAAGGATATAAGGGATTATCTAGGGCAGTGATGGCGAACCTATGACACGCATGTCAGAGGTGACCCGCGAACTCATTTTTTTGGTTGATTTTTCTTTGTTAAATGGCATTTAAATATATAAAATAAATATCAAAAATATGTCTTTGTTTTACTATGGTTGCAAATGTAAAAAAATTTCTATATGTGACATAGCACCAGAGTTAAGTTAGGGTTTTTCAAAATGCTGACACGCCAAGCTCAAAAGGTTCTCCATCACTGATCTAGGGTGTTGACCAGCATGTGTTAGGGAATCTGTGGGAGTTTGATAAGAATTGGGGGGGTAGTGTTTTGGGAGATTGTTGGGACATTGAGAGGGGATTAACAGTAATATTTTGAGGAGTTTAATAAAGTTTAGGGAATACTATTGAGTCAGAAGGATGGATATTTGATTATCAGAAGTGGACTGATTAGTTTTTTGAGGCATTCAATAAGATTTGGGATTCCTATTGGTTTATCAGAGGCAGGATACTGGAAAAAGTAGGAATCAGGGTGTTTGGGGTAAATATTGGAGTATCAGGTGTCTGCTCAATAAAATCGGGGAATGATATTGGTCAGGGTTCAGGAGTACACCTAGGATAGAGAAATGAGGTTTAGGGGTTTGCAGAGAGGCTGGGGGAAAAGGAGAAGTCCTCCGCATGGCTGGATAGAGGTGTCTGACCTGCTTCTCCTGCCCTCAGACCACCTTGGAGTGTACCCTGAGGCCAGGCTTGATTTACAACAAGGTGAACCCTATCTTTCATCACTGGAGCTTGGGTGACTGCAAGTTTGGGCTGACATTTCAGAGTCCTGCAGAAGCTGATGAGTTCCAGAGGAGCCTGTTGGCAGCACTGGCGGCACTGGGTCAAGGTGAGTGGTACAGGTGGTGGGCACTGGGGGCTGGGGTGGAGGGGTGGGAGAAGCTTGGGTACATGGAACTCATTCTCTGCTTCTCTCCCTGTCCCAGGTTCACTCACTCCCTCCTCCTCCTCTTCTTCCTCCCCTTCCCAGGACACTGCAGAGACCCCCTGCCCTCTGACGGTGAGTTTCCAGGACCAGCTCTCCTGGAAAGGCAGAGGTTTATTTTTGCTCTCCAACCATTATTGAGCACCTACTGTGTATCAGGTATCATGCCACAAGCTAGGGACAGCAATTTGGGCCCAAACTATCAAGTCAATTCTATCCCAGTTATTCTAGTTTCTGTTCTATCACGATAGAACATATTCACACATTCATTCAAGGGTATTTATTGAGCAACTTTAATTAGCAGTGTTTTAGGCACTGGGGATAAATCATTGAACAAAACAAAGTCCTTTTCCTCATGGAGCTTCTTTTCTAGAGTGGAAAGGCAGATTTCCCCCCCAAAAAAGATAAACTAAAAAATGAATAAATATTAAAAGTAAATGGATGAACAAATTAATGACAAGTCCATCCTTTTAGTGTCTCAGGGTACAAACCTTGGAGTCAACCTTGACTCCTCTCTTTTTTTATGCCTCTCTGTCAGCAAATATTGGCTTCACTTTCAAAATGATCAGACTCTGCCTCCAATCTGGTAACTGCCCAACCTCATCTCCCAACTAGACTATCCCACCAGCTTCTCATTGTCAACACCTTTACTCCACCCCCCACCCCCGCCCCCACCCCCCCACACACCCCACTACTTCTTCCTGAACACAGCCAGAGGGACCCTATTGATATCTAAGTCAGATTATGGCCGCCCTCCACTCACAACCCTCCCCTGGGCTCCATCTCACTCAGGGTAAAGGACAAAGTCCTTACAGTGGTACATAAAATCCCACACCATCTGGCCCCCTCTTTCCCCCCTCTTCCTCACTCTGCTTCAGCCACACTGATTGCCTCACTATTGCTCCAAATGGGCAGGCACATTTCTGTCTCAGGGCCTTTGCACTGGCTGATCCATCTGTCTTGGGGCACTCCTAAATTTCCACATGGCTCGTTTCCTTATATTTTTCAGGGCTTTACACACATCACCTTCTCACTGAGGCCCTCCCTGAAGAACCTGTTTAAATTGCAATATCCTAATGCTCCTTATTCTGTTCTAATTTTTCCTCAGCTTCTAAGATATTGTCCTTATTTTCTTTTCCAAGAGACAATTTTCTTATCTTTTAATTTACTGTCATTCTCCCATGTTAGAATGTCAGCTCCTGGAGGGCAAGGATCTTTTGTTGCTTTCTTACAGCATCTCCAAGGCTTAAAACAGGGCCTGGTAGGGATATAGTAAGTGTGCAGTAAAGATGTGTCAAATAAATGTATTGAATCAATAAATGCCCAGAATGTCCAATGCAACAGTGGGAGTTGTTTGAGAACACTAAGGAACAAAACTGGTTCTCTGGGCAGACCAGGGGAACTCCCAGTATAATGGGAGATTCCAGTGGGTCTACAAAAAACATAGACAGTTCTCGATTATTGAGCGCTTACTCAGGAAAGATGATGTGCCTTTCATGCTCCATCTCACATCCTTACAAGAGCCTCTGTGAGCCTGGCATGTTGTGGGTGTTCAATGAATGACTATTGAAGATAGTAAACAGATGACATAGGAATGATTCCCAAGTTACAGAAAGGAAACTGAGGGTCCGAGAAGTGATGTTTCAGCTTGTAAAGGACAGAGCTTGGTCTGGGTGGGGAAGAAGGAATTCTAGGTGGGTGAAACTGCCCCAATAAAGGTGTGGTGGTGAGCACGAGGCAGAAAGGCAGCTGGCTGGCCAAGGGAGAAGGCTTCTGAGAAGGGAGAACGATGATTTGATGTTATGTAGGTTAGTAGCTGAGCAGGTAAGAAGTGGGGGTTAAATAACAATAACGATAACCATTTCTAGCTCTTCCTGAACTTCAGGCATGTGTTATGCCCTTTATAGTGGCACCTAACCACAGCCTTATGAATAGACACTATTATAACCCCCATTTTACAGAGGAAGAAACTGAGGCTCAAAGAGATTAGTTCATTTGCTGGAGGCCACACAACCAGTCAGAGAGGGGTGGGGTGGTTTGAACCCAGGCCTGGCTGGCCACAGAGCCCTCCCTGGAGGGGAGGGGGTCTATGTGAGGGCATCAGCTGGGCTGTGCCGATCTGTCTCTGAGGCTGCCAATCTCCCCCAGTCCCACGTGGACAGCGACTCCTCCTCCAGTCACAGCCGCCAGGAGACCCCTCCCACCACCACTGCAGCGGCCCCCCAGGTCAACGAAGAGTCAGCTTCCAGCTTCGGGCCAGCCACGCCCCCCCAGCACCGATGCTCCTCCACTCAGGTGTGCCCTTCAATCCCCAGCAGAAGTCTGGGGCACCTCATGGGGCGCCGGAGACCCGGAGACCCGAAGTGGGCAGGAACTGAGGCTGCAGAGGGAGAAGAAACCACAAACACTCTAGGGATGGATGACTGGAGTTAATGGTGGGATAGGGGTGGAATTTGGAAGTCTGGGATCCTTGGAGGATTGGGTGAGGGTTTCTCGTGTCTCCTGTGCTCCTGGAAATTAATTCTGAATTCCAGAGGGGTTTGGTGGATGACTTGGGCAATGAATCCTTCTAGTCTTAGGGGGTTGCTCTTGGATTTTGAGAGACACAGGACGGGAGCCTGGACTACTGGGTCCTTAAGGTGTGGGCTTGGTGCCTGGATTCTTCTGTCTGACCCTAGATTTCCTCTGTCCCTGGGAGAGGAGTGGGCTAGGGGTTTGGAAGACTCCTGGACTCAGGCCACAGGGTGAATGAGGCCTGTGGCGAGGTCTTTGAATTCTCGGGTTTTCTGAGACTAGGCTGGATTGTGATTGTGATGGGATGTCAGGGATCACAAACCCCACTGATGGGTTCTCCTGTCTCTTCATCCCACAGAGCTATCCTCCGCTCCTACCGTTCACAGGATTTCCGGAGCCCTCAGAGCCCCTGGCCGGGGCAGGGGGACTGGGCTGGGGCAGCCGTGGCTATGAGGATTACAGGCGCACCGGGCTGCCCTCGCCCCGCACTCTGTCCACCTGCGTTGTTCGCTTTGCCAAGACTGGCGCGTTGAGGGGTGCAGCCCTGGGGCCCCCAACCGCTCTACCTGCCCCTCTCCCAGAGGCTGGACCTCCCGCACCAGCCAAGTCCTCCCCCGAGGCAGAGGAGGCTGCACGCTGCGTGCATTGCCGCGCACTCTTCCGCCGCCGAGCAGATGGGCGTGGTGGCCGCTGTGCGGAGGCCCCGGACCCAGGTCACCTGCTGGTGCGCCGTCTCAGCTGCCTGTGGTGCGCAGAGAGCTTGCTCTACCACTGCCTGTCGGATGCCGAGGGCGACTTCTCGGACCCGTGTGCCTGCGAGCCGGGCCACCCACGCCCTGCTGCACGCTGGGCTGCGCTGGCCGCACTCTCCCTGGCGGTGCCCTGCCTTTGCTGCTATGCGCCTCTGCGCGCCTGCCACTGGGTTGCAGCGCGATGCGGCTGCGCGGGCTGCGGAGGTCGCCACGAGGAGGCAGTGCGGTGAGGCTGGCCTGGTGGGCCCAGAATTGAGGGTCCAGGACCCCCGGGCTCTGTTCGGAACCCAAATCTAAATTTAGGCACACCTGGAACTTGAAGCTCGAGTTTAGACTGAGACCCCCCAGACCTGGAACTTGGACTCCAAATCTAGGATTGAGGGATCCCAGGCCCAGCTTCATTGAGCTGTCTACCTAAGAGGTCCCAGGCGTCCTGAGTTCTGGCATCCTCATCCTGCTGTGCCCCTCCCCCCATGACCTAGACTGAGGCGACTCCAGTCATCCCCAGGCTCTACACCTCAGGGCACACAGGTCCCTGACAGAGTCAGGGTCCTGAACCCTGACAACCTGCAGATTACATACCCAGAACTAGTCAGGAGTTTCGAATACCTGACCCTGCCTGTATACAATTACTCCCAGATCTAGAGATCACAGGACCCAGAATCACCCCAAATGTTCCTGAATGCTCATCTAAAACCTGAGGCACCCATATCTGAGGTGTTCTAGCCCTAGGACCACTAAGACACCAAGCCCTCTTAAGATGCCCTGGGTTCTAGGATATGCTCAAACAGATGTTCTCTGACCAAAATGGCTTGGGAGACCCACCTCATAGCCTCACTTCTTCCCCACATCCCACACCCGTCCCCCAATCCAGACATCAGATTCCAAGATACTCTGGGAGCCAGAGATCAAAGACCGCTGAAGACATCCCATCCCTCACTGCAACCTCCCCAGCCAATGTTTCCAGGAGCTTTGAATCTCATATATAGGACGCTGAGGTGCCTATTACTTTCAGATTAGGACTGAAGGTCACCAACACCTCAGGACCCAAGACACTGGTACCATATCCTCAGCCCTCTTGGACTTAGATTGTAAGTCCCAGAATGTCCTGGAATCTTCAGCTTCTTTGTACCCACAGACAGAGGATGGGTTGTTCATGACAACCCTGACCTCTGTCCACTTGCTCCCTAGCCTAGAGTGATCCCAAGGTGCCACTGACCTTTCAAATTCAAGGCTAAAGTCTACACAGCATGGGATTATCCCAGACCTGAGATCTTGGTCCCTTCATACCACAGTGAGATTTGAAAGTGCCCCAGGACCCCAGCATCCTCAATTCTGATTTCTTTGAACTCAGATCTCTCTAGTGTGATATTCCCTGTGATCTGCTGCCCCTTGAATTCTTCTATCCATAGGCCCCTGAGACCCCAAGATCCCAGACTCTGGAATTCTCGTTCCAGAGTCATTCTCCCTTTCCCCTCTCCCTCCCTCCCCCCGCATGTCCCCAGCATACCACATAATTATCTCTTTACCTTAGAGGGGAAAAAACCACCGTTGTGAGCTTAGGTTTTTGGATTCTAGGACCACTGAGTTCCTTCACTCTCAACATTTCCATAGATGATTGTGCAGACTACTCACTAACCAAAGGCACCTGGCTAAGGTGGTGAGTGGGCTGGAATTCACACCACACTGCTGACCACACTACTCTCAGAGGAAGGTGTGCCTTTTTCTACGTTGCACAAAGGCACCTTTGGGGCTAGCTGTGGCTCTGCTGGCGTACACACATACTCTCTCCAGCCATCCAGGCTCTTTCCCAAGCCCAGTCTTGAATCCTGGTCCTAGTCCAAGCTTTTTATGCTTCACCCTCCATTAGCCCCTTCTCTTGCATCTCAGAGTTGAGGGTTGCTTCAGAAAGTTTGAAAGCTTGTTTCATGCCCCCCTAAGACTCCTGTTCAGGGGAAAGAGGATGCCAAAGATTCTTTCCCTTGCGTGGAATGGACTTCAGGGTCCCTCAGATCTGATGCCCTGAATAGGGATGAGGGGATCAAGGTCTTGGAGCAACACCATCTTAACTCAGTTTATGGGCTTGGAGCCTGCATCTGGTCCCAAGCATCTGGAATTGTGCACTTACCTTCCTTCAATACCCAGACTTGGGTGGCATGGTTCAAGGACTGAGTCAGGGGGGCTAGAGAGAGAGAGCTTTCTGTCACTTTAAATGATTAACTATTTCTTACATCTGAACCTGTGAGTTTCAGCTCTCCCAACCAGACCCTGGGATGGGTAAGAGAAAAAGGGGGTGTCCCTCTCATCCCCACTCTGCCCAGCTCTCATCACTGTTAGCACCACCATAGCTGAGACAGAGGGACTCGGGGCTGGGGCACCCTGGGTCCCCATCCCCCTCTCTGTGCCTCCAGTCTCCTCCCTCCTGTGGTGGACAAGGGAAAGCTCCATTCTTAACCTACCTCGTTTTGGGGAGGGGTGGGACAGGGGACCAGAATGCTGTAAGGTGCTGTGGGATCTGCAAATGAAGCGGTGGGGGCTGGGGAAAAGTTCCCCCAACACCACCTCGACAAGGTCTCCCAGTCCTGCGCCCTGATGATACCCACCTCTGATCCATGAATTCTCTTCATCACCCCAAAATTGGGTGCATGGAGGGCTGATCTTGGGAGCCAGGAAGACCTCACACCCTGGAGCCCCCAGGCCTAATTTCCCAGCTGCTTGCCCCTCAGATTGAATACTTCATCTCCCAGATTTAGAGGAGGCACCCTGACATTTATCTTCCTGATCTTGATTCCAAGCCAGTCTGTGACCTCAATATTGTTACTGTCAGTGCAGCTGAAGTGGTGAGGGAGCCAAAGACCCAGCCTTGTCATCGGAGGAGGGGGCATGAGATATTCACTCCAAGAAATGTCTTCGACAAAGTCTCAGCCTGTGTTCTTTATTTGCATTGATGTGCCCCATCCACTCACCTTCCTGAACTGTCAAACCAGTCTCCTACCCAATTCTCTTCTCCATATCCTTTAGTCCCAAGCAGCCTCTTCAGCTGAGTTTATACATTCCACCAAATGCAGTTATTGAACACTCATTATATGCCAAGTCCTGTTTTAGGCTCTGGAGAGAAAGCAGTGAACAGAACACAAAAATTTCCCACAAGCTGCTTATGAACTTTATAGGGAATGACACAAATAACTGACATGTAAGAAAGATATATGTACTGTAGAGAAAAAGTGGAGATGAGGGATGAAGTCAGTTTTAGCCATTGTAATTAGGTTAGGCCTCACTGTTGAGCATTTGAATAGAGCCCCGAGGAGTTATGTGGATGTCCTCTGGAAGAAGAGCTCTGCAAGTTAAAGAAGGATCAATGGAAAGCCCTGAGGGAGGAGCATGTCTGGTAAGTCAGGGACATTAAGGGAGCTGGAGTATCTGGAGGGGAGGAAGCAAGGAAGAGGTTACTTAGGAGATGAGGGCAGATCTGTGGGGACTTGCAAGCCATTGCAAGGACTTTGGTGGTCACCCTGGGTGAGAGGGAGCTATAGGAAGGCTCCAAACATGGGAGGGCTGTGACCTGACTTAGTTGTTCACAGGTTCCCTCTGACTGCCTCTGGGGAACAGACACTGGGCACTGGGGAGGGACCTAAGGAGGAGGCTGATGTGATGGTCCTGGGGAGACGACGGTGCATAGGACCAGGGTGACAGCAGTGGAGGTGGAGAGAAGTGTTTTGAAGGTAGAGTCCACAAATTTGGATATGGGGTTTGCTATAAAGAGAGAAGTCAAAGTTATGACTCCAGGATTTTGGCTTGGGCAATTTTTAATGTTTTATTAGGGTTAACAGAAGGCCTCCTGAATACCCATTCTTGAGGTAGACAGGACTAAGGTGGAACAAGATTAAGGATAGGCTCTGCCCTTGAGGAGGAAATTCTGGCCTTTGTTCTTGCCTGAGGCTCAACACCTAGCCCACCCCTGCTTCCAGCAGAATTAAACTAGGAACTGCTGGAGATCAGAAAAAAGAGTTGGTAAAAGATTAAATCTGGAACAATTTTAACAACAGTAACAAAAACAGTAGCAGTAATAATAGTAGTAGTGGGTTAAAGAGTTAAAAGCATGGACTTTAGAATGATCTGAATTTGAGTTCTGACACCACCACACATTCAATTGAAACCCTCTCTGAACCTCAGGTACTTGGCCCAATGACACACAGAAAATGCTCAATATATGTTATTCTACTAAGCATTTACATACAGGACTCTAACCCTCACAACTGTAAAAGGTAATATCCCCTTATAGGTGAGAAAGGAATCTGGCAGGGAAACATGTGAGCAGTGGAGTCAAATCCTAACCCTTGTTGGCCTGACTCCCATCATCCCAATCACGGGCGTAGGCTGCACCTGCTCCCTCTCTCCAAGGCTTGGGAGGCGGAGGGATGAAGCGAGACAGGCACACTGGGACCCATGAGGAGGGCCTCTGTTGGGGATGGGGTTAAGACGGGCTTTCTGAGTTCCTGACTTAACTCCAATCTTAAGCAGGGAAGGAGTAAGTGAGTTTCTGGATTTGGAGCGGAGTTGGAAGAACACTTGGTCTAGAGCTGAGGGAGGCCGAGGAATAAGCCGAAGGTGCTTCTACGTTACAGCAGTGGCGACACCCGCTGGCTGGTCGCGACAGCCAGGATCCTGGATTCACGCTCCGACTTCCCGAGCCAGGAGCGTGTCCCGGGCCCTCATTAGCTACCCAAAGCGCGGCGCGCCTAAAAACGGCGAGGGCGGGCCTGGGGGCGGGCTCTGTCTCCGCTGCAACCAGGACGCAAAAGGCCCTCGGCGAGAGCGGCTGTTGGTCGGTTACGCCGCGGCCAGTGCGCACGCCACTGCTGGGCGGGTTCTCCCGGCAGGGGGCGCCCGCCCGCGACGAGGCCACGGTTCCATGGAGGGGGCGGAGGCCGAGGCCCGGGAGGGCGCCGCTGTAGCCCAGGACCTGCAGGCCCTGGGGTAAGGGGCGCGGGTGTGGCTGAGGGCGGCGCTGGAAGGGGCAGGTTTGCCTTCAGAAATCCTGAAGGCCTCCTCGGCTCCCTCTCGCCCTGGCGCCGCCACAGGTATGAGAACTTCCTGGGGGCGGCGGCGCTGAGCCCCTCGTGCCCAGACTTCAGGGCGCTGTGCGCGCGGCTGGCGGCTGAGCTGGCGACTCTGGGCGCCTTGGAGCGGGAGCGAGAGGAGGGCGCGGAGGCACTGAGTGCCGGCGACGGTACGTGCGGAGCGGCCGGCCCGGAGGGCTGGGGCCCGGTGCCACCGCCGCGCCCTGAGGCCTCCCGCCTCTCGCAGGCCCCGGCGCGGAGGAGGAATTCCTGCGACAGCTGCCCCGCCTGCTGGAGGAGCTGCACTGCCCTGACCGCGCGCTCTGCGGCGGAGACTGCGCGTCCGCGCTGCGGGAGCCGGGCGCTGGCCGGCGCCTTCTGCGTGAGCCGGGCGGGCGGGGACGCGGCAGTGGGCGAGGCTTCAGCCCCTCGAGGGGCGGGCCGGCGCGGAGCTAGAGCCCAGGTTTTCCCGCGGGGGCGCGGTCAGAGTGTACGGGGCTGCGGAGGGCTCCGGTGGGGGTGGAGTCAGGACCTTGCGGGTGGGTGCAGTGGTTCTCAACCTTCTGGCCCTTTAAATACAGTTGCTCGTGTTGTGACCCAACCATAAAATTATTTTCGTTGCTACTTCATCACTGTAATGTTGCTACTGTTATGACTCGTCATGTAAATATCCAATATGCAGGATGGTCTTAGGCGACCCCTTTGAAAGGGTCGTTCCACCGCCAACGGGGTCGCGACCCACAGGTTGAGAACCGCTGGTAGGACTTTGAGTTGGGCGGGATTCGAATTTTGATGGAAAGGTCTTGGAGCTCAAGTGAGTTGTGTTACTGTAGCCTGGCCGTTGGTTCTCAGGCGGGCGAGGTTCAAAGTCCGCAGGGGACTGGGTCTCAAAGTGGGTGGAGATTATTCTGGAGCTAGAGCCAGGGCCTAGAAAGAGGGAGGATTTGAAGCTGCAGGAGCTTCGTCCCTCTCCCCCATATCCCCCCCTCCTCACAGGAAAAGCTTTTGGCCCAGGTGGGTGGCTGGCAGCACACCTAGATTGCGCCACTCCCCTTCCCTACTTTTAGGCTTTCTCTGCACAGAACTCCAGGCTGCCCGCCTCCTCCGCCTGCACCACCAGCTGGATCCCACCCCAGCGGTGTCCCCATCCCATGGGGAAGGGGCAGAGGAGGGAGCTGGCATGGTTCAGGAACTGATCCTTATCCTCCAAGCCCTGGGGCTGCTCAGACCTTCGCTGGGGACCCTCGCCAGCAGGCTGCTGTGGGAGTTGCATGCCAAGGTAGAAAGCAAGAGTCCTCTCCTTACCCGAGCCACCGTGGTCTGGGTCCTCTGGGCTTTAGGAAACTAGGGTCCACAGAGAATTCCCACAGTTTCTTACAGTCAGTCAGCCTCTTGACTCCTTCTCCCATCAGGTCTCAGAGCTTCTGCCTTCCCTGCCCTCAGGATCCCTGCAGCCCCTTCTAAGCCACCCATTAGAC